CTTAAAAGAGCTTGGGCCAGCAGCCTCCCTCAAGTATTAGGGTACATTCAAATAGAGCTCTGGCAGCATCATGGGCAGAAAGAGCTGGAGCATCTTCGGAGGAATCTGTAAGAGCGGGCGGTCTAATCACCACTAATCCACTAATCATGCTTTTGTGAAACATTATTGTGTAGAACTGCTTCCCAGCCAGGACTTGGCTTTTGGGAGAAAATTTCTGCAAGCAATGATCCCTCCCTAAGGTAGGTATGTCACTTGTTTATCATGTCATGTACAGTAGCTGCCCTGGAAGATGCTTTGGGAAAACCATGGTTGGTCTAATCAGTAACAGTGTTTTTTGTTAGAATGCATTATTTTCCCTTGTGCACATTGGTGGCAGCTCTTTCATTTCTTACCAACAACTGATGACTTGGGGGGTAGAAAGGGCCTTTTAACTGATTTTGGAATTGTGTTTCCTGAAGAGGGCAGAGCCAACCATCTTGTAGCTGACCTGGAAACACTGTTACCAGTAAGACTAAATGTGGTTATACTTCCTATCAACACTATATTGCCAAAAGAATTGGAACACCCCTCCAAATGATTGGATTTGGGTGTTCCAATCACCTCCATGACCGCAGGTGTATAACATCAAGCACCTAGGCAAACAGACGCTTCTACAAACATTTGTGAAAGAATGGGTCGCTCTCAGGAGCTCAGTAAATTCAAGTGTGCCACCTGTGCAATAAGTCCATACGTGAAATTTTCTTGCTAGTAAATATTCCACAGTCAAGTGTTAGTGGTATTATAACAAAGTGGAAGCAACTGGGAACAGCAGCAACTCAACCACGAAGTGGTAGGCCACGTAAAATGACAGAGCAGGGTTAGTACATGTTAAAACACACAGTGAGCAGAAGTCACCAACTGTCTGCATAGTCAATAGCTAAAATCTCCAAAATTCATGTGGCCTTCAGATTAACACAATAGTGCATAGAGAGCTTCATGGAATGGGTTTCCATGGACAAACAGCTGCATCTAAGACTTACAGCACCAAGTGCAATATAAAGTGATGGATGTAGTGGTGTAAAGCGCACCGCCATTGGACTCTAGAGCAGTGGAGACGTGTTCTCTGAAGTGACAAATCACGCTTCTCTGCCTGGCAATCTAATGGCATTAACTTGACTTACCGTGTTTGGAGGAAGAAAAATGCTGACTATGACCCTAAGAACACTAACCCTACAGTCAAGCACGGAGGTGGAAACATTATGCTTTAGGGCTGTTTCTCTGCTAAAGGTACAGAGCGACTTTGACGCATTGAGGGGCCAATGGACGGGGCCATGTATTGTAAACTCTTGGATGAGAACCTTCTTCCCTCAGCCAGAACACTGAAAATGGATCATGGATGGGTCTTTCAGAATGACAATGACCCAAAACATACTGCCAAGGCAACAAAGGAGTAACTCAAGAAGAAGCATATTAAGGTCATGGAGTGGCCTAGCCAGTCTCCAAACCTTAATCTTATAGTAAATTTGTGGACGGAACTGAAACTTCGAGTTGCCAAGCGACAGCCTAGAAACATTAAGGATTTAGAGAAGATCTGTATTGAACAGTGGACCAAAATCCCTCCTGAGATGTGTGCAAACCTGGTAACCAACTACAAGAAATGTCTTTCCTCTGTGCTTCCAAGCAAGGGTTTCTCCCCCAAGTACTCAATCATGTTTTGCTTGGGGGAAATATGTATTTTACTCACTGAACAGCAAATCAATTTATAACATTTGTATCCTGTGTTTTTCTGGATTTTTGGATGATATTCTGTCTCGATCATTTAAATATATATGATAAAAATGATAGACCCTTCATTTGTTGCAAGTGGGCAATCGTAAAAAATCCACAGGGGATCAAAACATTATTTCCCCACTGTATGTGCCTGCTGTACCATGTACTTGTGTGAAGAAAGTACCCTGTTCTCTTTGTATTGCATCCTGCGTGTGAAATTACTGGTTTTCCTGCCAGTCCCTCAGTTTTTGGTTTTTTTTTTATAAGGAAAGCAACTGCACTAAGCAGGAGAGCACATTGTGGTTAGATCTCTGGCTATGCTGGCTACTCAGTCAGCTCTCCTCCAATGATCAGTCTAGTCCTGACAAGCCCCCCCCTGCACAGTCTTTCATTTGGAAATTCAGTATGCTGTTGTTTTCTCCTCTGCTAGCTTTTATGCAGCTGAGAACAGAGGGGTAAAAGGTATTATTAAAGTTTTTTTTTATATCTACAGTTGTGGCCAAAATTATTCAACCCCCAATGCTGTAAAGGGGTTTAGGGACTATAGTGTACATTTGGAATTGTATTCAGAATCAAATCCTACAAGGACGTTGTAACTACCCAAATGCAACTAAAATGACATCAATTGTTTATGTAATACAGTAGTAAATGGTTCTTATGTGGTTTCTTCATTGCCACAATTATTCAACCCCTTAAAGACTACCACTCTGAAGAACAGAGGTTCATACAGGTGCTTTCCATCAGGTATTGAAAACACCTGTGGATGTCACCGAGCAGCAATCAAGCATAATAAGCACCAATTAGGCAGCTTTAAAATGACTGTGATACTCAGCTCCTTCTAGACATTTACTGGTGTGGTTACAAACATGGTGAAGGCAAGAGAATGGTCCAGGAAGACAAGAGAAGAGGTGATTTCTCTTCACAGGAAGGGCAATGGCTATAAGAAGATTGCAAAGATGTTAAACATACCAAGAGACACCTTAGGAAGCATCATTCGCAAATTCAAGGCAAAGGGCACTGTTGAAACGCTACCTGGTCGTGGCAGAAAGAAAGATGCTGACTTCGACTGCTGTGCGCTACCTGAAGCGTAGAGTGGAGAGAAGTCCCCGTGTGACTGCTGAGGAACTGAGAAAAGATTTGTCAGATGTGGTACAGAAGTTTCAGCCCAGACAATAAGACGCACACTGCGTAATGAAGGCCTCCGTGCCAGAACTCCCAGGCGTACCCCCTTGCTGTCTCCAAAGAATAAGAAGAGTCGACTGCAGTATGCCAAAAGCCATGTGGACAAACCACAAAAGTTGTGGGATAGTGTTTGTGGACTGATGAAACAAAATTAGAACTGTTTGGGCCCATGGATCAACGCTATGTTTGGAGGAGGAAGAACAAGGCCTATGATGAAAAGAACACCTTGCCTACTGTGAAGCATGGTGGAGGGTCAATCATGCTTTGGGGCTGTTTTGCTTCTGCAGGTACAGGGAAGCTTCAGCGTGTGCAAGGTACCATGAATTCTCTTCAGTACCAGGAGATATTGGATGGAAACGTGATGCAGTCCGTCACACACACCTGAGGCTTGGGAGACGTTGGACCTTTCAACAGGACAATGATCCCAAGCATACCTCCAAGTCCACTAGAGCATGGTTGCAGAGGAAAGGCTGGAACATTTTGGAGTGGCCATCGCAGTCACCAGACTTAAATCCGATTGAGAACCTCTGGTGGGACTTAAAGAAAGCAGTTGCAGTGCGCAAGCCTAAGAATGTGACTGAACTGGAGGCCTTTGCCCATGAAGAATGGGCGAAGATACCCGTAGATCGCTGCAAGACACTTGTGTCAAGCTATGCTTCACGTTTAAAAGCTGTTATAACTGTAAAAGGATGCTGTACTAAGTACTAAGATTGAATGTCACTTGGGGTTGAATAAAACTGATAATGCTGTGAGCACAGAAAAGACATTTGTGGTTATTTCATTATAACTGTTATGTTATATTTGTCTGACCTACAAGTGCCTCTTTAATGTAAATGTAAGCAAGATGACTGAATGATCTCAAACTGGCCAAAACACTCAATTTCAGTGGGGGTTGAATAATTTTGGCCACAACTGTATACACACATATTGCCTTTCCTTTCTATTTGTTTTTAAAAGAGTGAGGGGCCTTCAAATAAAAGAATGTTGGAAGCCATGCCTGTACATAAAGGTTAATGCAAATTAATGCAAAATGCAAAAGCTGGATATATCAATGAAGAAAACAGAGCATCATGACTTCCCATCCATCTGTCATTTGTAATGCATGTAATCCAACAAGCCAAGAACACCAGTGCCTCTCCGGACTCTGTTTTCTTCCATGATGTTGCAATAACTACTTGTGTAACTGCAGTGTGAACTGGAGTTTGACTGTAATTCGTTTATGTATCTAAATCTGCTAGTACATCTAAATCTCCCTTCCCCACAAATAAACAATGTTTCTGTCTGCTGTGAAAGCAGAAAGAAAAAAGCCTAACAAAGAAAACTAATGCATCCACCACATTGAAAGATTGGTAAGCTGCAATACATTAAATTTTTGATTTTGGGTTTAACATCGCTTTAAGTGTTTCTCTACTGTACAATGAATTACATTAAGCACATTACAAAAAAAAAATGCATGTTTGGCTTCTGGTGTTTTCATTCAGATCGAAGTTTTCCTCTACCCCTGCAGAGGTTTTATCCACAAGAGAACATGTACACAGGTTCAAAGACAGCGGTTGTGCCTTTTAGTCTCTAGCTGCACAAAGGGGACAATTTCCAAAGAAGCTGAAATGACCTTCAAGCACCCATACTGCTACTTAAAACTTAAAAAATCACACACATTTATAAAGCAGTGCATAAATATTTCCAATAAATGAAAAAAAACACAAGGGTAGTAAAAGGAAAGCCCGGTCATGGGAGCTCTTGTGCAACTGGCCTCTCCTCACAACGTTCTCTCTCTACAGTGTAATGCACAGAGAACTCAAACGAACACTGTAGTATCTGCACACATTTTATAAATGGCTTGAAAGATGTAGGCACAGTGTGGAGTGAACACTGCATTGTCCAACAGAGAGTGAATTGCAATATCCACATTCCATTATATATGGGCATCTTAACCACCTCCCGCCCACCATATAGTAATATGACGGACACAAGGTGGTTCTCTTATTCTGGGAGGATGTCATATGACGTCCTCCCATTCTAACCGCGTATGCGCGGCTCCGTAGCGCGGCGATTGGCGGTGCGCTGTGTCCCTCGGACACAGCGGATCACCGACCCATGGAAAGAGCCGAAGATGTTGGCTCATTCATGTGATCAGCTGTGTCCAATCACAGCTGATCACATGTAAACAGGGAAATGCCGGTTATCTGCATTTCTCTCCTCTCGAGCTGTCACGCTGACAGCTCGAGAGGAGAGCTGGTAATTGGCATTCCACGGAGGGGACATGTACACTGATCATCAGAGCACTGATGATCAGTGTGCCCTGATGATCAGTGTAGCCCCAGCAGTGCCAGCTGTCAGTGTCCATCATTGCCAGCTGTCAGTGCTCATCAGTGCCATGTGCCAGTGCCCATCAATGCCACATATCAGTGCCTTCCAGTACACATTAATGCCACATATCAGTTCCCATCTGAGCTGCCTTTCATTGTCACCCATCAGTGCCAATCAGTGGCACCTATCAGTGCTGCCAATCAGTGCCACCTATCAGTGCCAGTCAGTGCCACCTATCAGTGCCAGTCAGTGCCGCCTATCAGTGCGCATCAGTGCCCGTCAGTGCTGCCTATCAGTGCCAGTCAGTGCCGCCTATCAATGCCATATATCAGTGCTGCCTTTCAGTGCCCATCAGTGATGCCTGTCAATGCCCATCAGTGCCACCTACCAGTGCCTCCTCATCAGTGCCACCTATCAGTGTCCATCAGTGCAGCCTATCAGTGCCCATCACTGCAACCTCATTAGTGAAGGAGAAAAATCACTTATTTACAAAATTTTATAACAAAAACTAAAAAAAAACAAAGAAAAAAAAATAAGAAAAAAACTGTGTTTGCCGCTCCCCTGCCCCTCTCCGTCAGCGCCAGGGTCGCATTAGCTGAGTGATGGGGAAAAACTGAGGGAGAAGAGAATCACTGGAATACTAGTCAGTACCAGTGTGCACAAGTGTATTTGATTTGGAAGTATAACCCTCTAACATTGGGTGTCCTAAGTATGTGGATGTTGATGCATTATGTAAAACTACTAGAATAGTTTTTTTACATTTTAGAATGGGGTACCTTGAGGCTGTCCATAATTTTAAAGGGTGCCTTGAGATTGTCCATAATTTTAAAGGGTGCCTTGACTTAAAGAGGTTGAGAAACACTGCTCTAAAGAATACTAAATAAAAGTCTCTAAATGTTGAAGTCATATCGTGGGTATCTTATTAAAGATGATTGAGGTCAATAAAGCAGAACAGGGAACAACATGTGGCGTACTGGCAAGCAGAAATATTTCTTCAGCAGTGCATACTGAGCTTACAGGTTTTTTTGTAACAATTTTACAAGGAAACCCAGCAATTTACTGCATCTCAAGCATTACTACACAACATCGATGTATGACACCATACCTTCAAGAACCTATGACTTATCACAAAAACTTAATCAGTCCTTATCTCACCTGAGGCCTGGATATTATTCAATAAGCTGTGATCTAGATGCACTTCTCTAATGTTCTTCACATCCCCTGAAGGCTCCTCTTTGTTTACTTGCTGTGCGTTTTCTGTGGGTTTTTCATTGACCTTGAAACCATCTGTAGCAGCTTCAGTAGCTATGATTTCTGCCCCGACTACCATGGCTGATACTTCCTTGTCCTCCCGAGTCTTAAGCCTCTTAGAACGAGATGTGGTACGCTGAAGGCTGTAATGGAAGATACTGCTGTCAGATTAGAATGTCTGGTGTGGATAAGATAAAACAGCTTCCAATATAAATACCTTTCACCTTAATAAACTAGCACAAAAATGTCATTTTTTTGTGTGCTGATAGTGTTTAGAATTTATTATGTTACAGATCAGAGGCCGATTCTGCAACTTGCTAATCCTCTATCAAAGTTCTTCAACTTCTCAAAGGTTAGGATAAATAACCTTTGGGACTTTGCTGTGACAAAGGTGAACATGTTTATAACTAAAGAGAATTAAATCACAACCCTTCTGTCAATCAGTGAAAGACTTAAGACAGCTGATAACAGAAGCATTGTAAGTAAAATTTCTCAGCAACAGAAAAAACGTGTGCTTAATATATAAAACACAGGACAGTTAATCAAGTCATCATCTGGAAAATAAAAAATGATTTAAACATTAAAAATGTGAAACTGTAGTCTGAAAAGCATGCTCAAATGAGCTTTACAGGGCAACATCCTGGTAATGGGTCAGTCAGGCTCACTTGTGTTGTCACATTGGGAAGGTAAGGGGTGTGTTAAAATGGACCATAACCTACTGAGGGACTATCAGTATGCTTCAGAGAATCTATAAGAGGAACACACTGAAGGTAAAGGACCCATGTGGCAACATATGGTACCAATTATCTGGGGTAGGAAGCTTACTTTTAACAAGCTTGCTCATTCTACAGGTTTGCCTTAAACATTTATTTATTATGTTTTTCAATCGATCATATATTTGTAAGTTGCTTTATCTTTAGAAATCACAATTACATTGGCTATTTGACTATAATATACAAATTAGATTGATTTAATGACAGCTATGATGATCTGTGTAGTGCAGTATGCCACAGCAAGCAAATTTCAGCTCCAAATGGAACACCCACAAAGAAACACAACTAGTGATTGGTTGCTACAGTTTGTTGTTTTTTGTATATTGCCCACTGGCTAATCACATGTATACAGTTGCATATTAAGCAGAGCATGTGTTTGTAGAGTAAAAAAAAAAAAAAAAAAAAAAAAGTATGATTAAACCAAACTGTACCCTTTCAAAGCTTTTTTTATTTTCCTTCTCCTTTTATTCATCCAGGCCCTCAGTTCTGGAGTAGCTTCTACCGTAGGTTTTGTGTGGTCAATATTGTAGATGTCCTTCCCTTGTTTCCAGATCTCATATCGGTCTGGCTGAAACATCTTCACAAAGATATCCATTGATATTTTTACCATGTCACTGCTGCATGAACACTGTAACCAAAAAATAAACAGGTATATAAATAAAAAACAATCAATCAATCAATGGAGAGACCTTAAAAAGATATTCATAAACATCCTGTGCATAACAGCAGTAAACCAGTCTAAGAAAGGATGCTGTTAAAGAAATTGGAGATAATGCACCTTTACTCTCTGGTAAGAGTTCAGCAAGAATAGATTTTAAACCAAAAATTTTATAGCAGAATTAACCAAATATACTACAATTGACAATCTTTCTTCTCTTTTACTGTCTTTGCCGTCTGAGTTTGCCAGGGGTGCCTATGGTAGTGGTGGTAGTACCCACTGAAAGCAACAGGGGATATAATTCCTGCTACAGCCCCAGCATGTGTACGATCCCCAGCACTGCTTCTGCACCTAAAGGGGGATCAGTTGGGAGGTGGTATAAACACAGCCCTTAGGCTTGGTTCACATCTGTGCGTCTGCATGTTGCATGTCCAATCATAATATTCCCAAGTGCACACATTCCTGAAGATGGCTGCTCAGTATAGCTGGGTGCTACAGTGATCACAGCCTGAGACCCATGTACACTCAATGTGAACAAATGTCACCAGCACACCAAGGATTCCTCAAACAGGTCCAAAGTTTTATTCCGTAGTCACACACTGCAAACAAAGGCAATGTTTCATGTTTCAGAGCCACTCAGGGCTTCGTCGTCAGGCCTATCACTTGCCTGACGAAGGGGCCCTGCGTGACTCCAAAACATTTCCTTTGTTTGCACTATGTGGCCACAGAATAAAACTTTGGACCTGTTTAAGGAATCACTGGTGTGCTGGTGACATTTGTTCACATTGAATGCTGCATGTGGGGCAGCGGATTCATTCCACTGAGCTGTCCTACCCTCAGAAACATGGGTAAAATTGTCCTTGACCCTTTTTTTAAAATCATGCTGCACATTGCAGTTTGGCACGTGAAAGACCTCCAGCATTTGCTGATGCATGGTGATGCCATTCAGAATTAGGTTATCATTGTTATTGTTATTATTACCATCATATTTTTTTAAAGGGCTCTGTGACTGAAAAAAGGTTCAGAAACACTGGTATAGTTACCATCAAAGTTAGCAAACAGAAGTTCATTATCAGGTTTTACATATCCTATCATTTATAATATTACAAAGAACATAGGCAATATTCAAGTCCATCCACTAAACTACCTACCCTAAGCAGGTTAGCCCAGTGTTTCTCAACTCCAGTCCTCATGGACCCCCAACAGGTCATGTTTTCAGGATTTCCATTATTTTGCACAGGTGATTTGATCAGTTTCACTGCCTTAGTAATTACCACAGCTGTTTCATCTGAGGGAAATCCTGAAAACATGACCTGTTGGGGGTCCATGAGGACTGGAGTTGAGAAACACTGGGTTAGCCTAATAGGTAGATCATACATATAAAATACAAAACCAGTACAGTTAATTTTAGCATATAGTTTACACTAATTGATTATTAAAAAAAAAAAGACCATTCAGCCACAAATAAAGCCTTTTAGAAGGACATAAAATATGGATGTACAACAATGTTTCCTGAACCAGGTACCTGCAAGAGTTTTCCTGAAGGTATTTGTAGGATACCATACTGCTGTTCTAAATTAATTTGGCCCAGTGGACATACAAAAATATATAAATTTGGTCACCATCATGAACATTTAAAGCTGCACTAATATGTTACAATGCTTAGCAGCGTCAAGCTGATCAGCTTAGGAGTTACTGACACTAAAAAGACCCTAATGTACCAGCTCACTCAGTTTTTAGTTTCTATTTACTGCAGAGATATGACAAATGGTTGCTCCAGGAATAATTCAAGGGAACCCCTGTCAACAGTACTGATATGTAAAGTGTGAAAACGACACAAAAGGGTCAAAGAGCTCTTTTGGTTGGTGTGTTGTTAAGCTGCAGTGTTAAAGTAACATGAGGTCCACTAACTTATTCATAACACAAATATCCATAAATGTTGTATTAGAGTTGCACTAAAATGTGTTCTATTACTAACAGTTTTCTATTAATGTCATCAGTTTCAATGTTGTTACGTATTTTTTCTTATAAAAGTAATTAGAAGGCAAAGGTTTTCTTTTGTTGCAAATTTTTTTATTTCCAAGTAGCGGCGATTTTTCTTCTGTTCTGAAGCCAAATAAAACTTTAAAGTGGAGCTCCAGTGAAAAAAAAAAAAATAAATGTCAGCAGCTACAAAAACTGTAGCTGCTGACTTTTAAAAAACAGACACTTACCTGTTCCTCAATCCCACGGTGTCCTCCCTGCAGCCCATTTCACTGGCTGCCCTGTGTTCCCAGCATCGGCATCTTCAGTGTAGGCACCAGGCTGTGACAGCTTGCATGCGCAAGAAGCGCTGCACTTTGTGATTTGCCCCGTAGTCTTCTGGGACCTGTCACATGTCCCAGAAGACTACGGGGAGGGAGGGAGGACAACGTCCGCTTCCGATTGCCTAGACCATGGTCGGCAAGCAGAGCCACATGGGAGCTCTTTACACATTTTAATGCGGCTCCTGTGTGCCGGGCGCTCGCTCCCCTTCCCTCCTCTGGGTGAGGACTCTGCAGCTTTGCCCAGCAATGATTGGCAGTGTGC